TTACAACTCAAACTATTTGGAGACAAACAGACATCTATTTCATGACTTCGCAGTATATATGAAGCTAGAAGTNAATTTCTGAGAGAGAGAGAGAGAGAGAGAGAGAGAGAGAGAAACCAAATTACCTAACATTACGAACAACACATCAAATTTACAGTAAATATGGGAACAAAAAATAGTGCTTTGAATGGAGTGTTGAGAAAACTATTAGATGTATGTATGAATTGAATCCGTATTTTAAGTCATTATTATTTAGTTATAAAATAAATGCCAAAATAGACAGGACTTTAGAGTCGATTCATAGATGATTTATATTATTATATGAGCCGATAGTATGAAGTCGTGGCCACCCCTAGAGATGAATCCTTTTTGTGGTATTTGGTGTGTGTTTAGCAAAACGACTTCCATTGAAGAAATAATTTTTTGGTCATTTTGCAAATGTTTCGCTCTATTGTTGTAAATACATATTTATAAGAGGCAGCTGTGCTCATAGTATGTGCTCATACTGTGCCCTAACAGTCCCATACACTAGCATTCAGTGCCATATACTGTACCGTCAATATTCTGTATACCGGGTATTCAACTGTTCATATGAACGCACAAAACACATCACATCTCAATATTATGAACAAAGTGTACACATATTTATTGTGTAGTTTCGCACAAAAGGCCACAACTGAACACAACTGTAGAGTTTTGACAATTCTTTAGCAAATCTATTAACTTGAGAGAGAAGTAGGCTTTAGAAGAGGTGAACAGTATGTATGGTATGTTCATATGATAGTAGCACCTGAACACAGCACCAGCACCTGACACACCTTGCATTCACTACATGTCAAAAGTGAATGCCTTTTCTGCTAAATAGTTATACTTTTAATAGTAATACCTTTTTGATGGACAATACTCTCAATACACTCTCAATATGTTTGACTTTAACCTCACTTTTTGAACATTTTGTAAATAAGTACTCAATTTGTAAGTCATTTGTATTATTCATCTATATTTGTAAATATCGTATATATAATACAATTTTAAACAAATTAAACAATTCGTGTATTTAAATACAAATTATTTTATGAGTTTCTCTAAAATCAAAATCCAATAATTATTCAAATTTACAAATAATTGTTTAAAACGCCTTTAAATATATTTATATATAATTATAACTGAAAAGTGAATTAATGTACAAAATGATTGCCTTTTACTGAAAATAGTAAACAATTTATGAATTTTTTGGGTTAAATACAATGGACAACAAATTATTAATTATAATTAAAAATGTGGTGATTTTAGTAAATTATTGTAATATTTTTTGTTTAAAAGGCTTTAAATGAATGAAAGAATACATAAAATGGTGAAATAAATGGTAAGAATATATACATAATCGTTGGATGCCTTAGAGATGTGTTGAGGAACTAACAGTGTGTTAATGGATGTGAAGTGAATGTATGGTTCAGTCGCTGGCACAGGGAGACGACAGATCAGATGACATGTTGCTCGAAGGCTGGTGTAGGTCTGGTTCTGTCCATTTTCAGTACAACCCATTAGTTACACGTTATTATTGAATTGAAATGCGCGTAAATGAATTTGATTTACCTAAATATGAGAGCGGAGTACAGGGGCCGGTAGGCGGACCGTGCATTGACGATAATGATGTATCATTCGGTGCTAAATCCGTATAGCCGTGCATCTAATGGTACGGATAAATACATTGTGTTAATTAAATGTTATAATTTTGAAAGAATTTGAAACATGTTTCAAATGTACAACAATATGAAAATATGAAATTGTTTGATGGCTTTGAAAGACTACAATTGAATGGGAAGGACGGCAGAGGAGAAGAGATGTCTGTTTTTTGGATGCATTTGTAAAGAATAGTTCTGTCAGAAAGATATGTTTTTAGATCAAACTTGATGTTTGACTGAATGCTAAAAGCGATGGTTAAATGAGGCGTTTTTAACATATTATATCAAAAGTAATATGTCTTTCAAAGGTGTCGGTATATCATTGAGAATGACGTCCAACACTAGTCTCCCGCCGACTCCTCACGTCTTATATGCTATTTAAAAGACATTCAATTTGATTGTCTGATAATGAAAACCAGTATTTGAGGTAAAAAATGTAATTTATTTTCCACAGAATGTCTTTATTTTTATATTTCAGTAATTATCCAAAAGTATAGTAATTATACGATAATTAATATACAGCACACTATACTATAATGTAGAAAATAATGAAAGTATTTATATTTAATAGTTTATCGCATTTTTTTGTGTCTAATACTGATTGGAAGCAAATGTAATAATTTATGGCTTTATATGACAATTAAGTCTTAATATAACACTAATATTAACTTCATTTGATTTTTTTAAATTTACAAATTCATTCAAAATAAAATAAATTAAAAATTCTGGATATTATATAACGAAATGGAGAAATGAATTCGCATTTTGTATTTTGATTACATTTTGATTTGCATTAATTTAATCAAAATTGAAGTGAACTCCAAAAGCGAAGGGAAATGATTGAAATGATATGTTTGTTTGAGAGCCAAATGTATTTGATATTCTAGTGATACGTTTTTTAGGCCCTAAACGGATATCAAAGTAAAAGTTACAGTAAAAGCAATCTTAATATTATTCCGCCCGAAGGCATCTCTCATTTGTTTGTATACTATAATTGGGTTTATGTTTGTTTGGGTCAACAATCAATGATAGGCTAACAATTCACGTTATGTCACACAAAAAAATAGTAAATCACTACAAAAAAGTTGGATAATCTCTCCTGAGACTCGCCTATGGGCTGTTGGTTTAGTCCAACATAATGTTTGTGCACATAGAGAGAGTGTATGACACAAAATATTGCCATTGCGTTGACAATCATCTTATTTCAAGTTAGGATTTGCTCCCAAACTCTGTTTGTTTTACTGCCATAACCTCGGAGTGACTTGTCTATGAAATTGGCTGATCTTTGCTAATAATATAAGCTCCGAATCACAAAAACCAACAAAATGTATGCTTTAAGCGATATTTCAGTTTATTTTTTTGTGCAAAATTTTAATCTAAATTTTACTCAGAGATTAAAACAGTTTTGATACACTTTTCACTGAAATATGAAATGGAGAATAAATTACAGATAAATATAAATGAGTTTTTATTTTTAAACTACTTTTTGAATAATAAATTCTGTAAAATAATTTATATTCAAATCACAACATGTTTTGATAATATATGATATGATTTATATAAAATTTGTTCTTTGTTTCAATTTTCAAAACTGATTGCAATCTCTTCTTACAACTCAAACTATTTGGAGACAAACAGACATCTATTTCATGACTTCGCAGTATATATGAAGCTAGAAGTCATTTCTGAGAGAGAGAGAGAGAGAGAGAGAGAGAGAGAGTAGCGGTAATAATGAGAGAATGGTTGAGCATTGTATAGAAGAGCGCATGCATTTGATGAGCAATAAAATGCAATTTTGGAAATAATAGAAAGGGTTGAATAGAGAGGTAATAACGGGACACAAGACTGAGAGAGCGAGACAACTGTCGGTGTCTTCGCTTTATAACCAATTTATTGACGAGCAATAGAGACGACTCTTACCTGACTTACGAGTTGTTGAAAGTGAGGCGCATTGGGATCGATGTCGGGCTGTAGTGCATAATCTGCGAGTGCTTTCCAAGGAGGTTGGTAAGTTTGTACTTCCAATGGATTCACCTGAATTGGACTTTCATGACGGACTGGACTCGTCGCTATGAGGGGCACCCCTCTCATCGATGACAGATTCAATTGTCTTCCGTCCTAAACAACATCACAGATATTAATACATTTCAAATATTCTTATATACAGTACTATTCATATATTTTATCGTTTATTAGACCTATTCATAGAATTAGTAATAAATAATAGGAATTTGAAAAATATCTCTAATTATAGATTGTTTGCAAAATTGTATGCCAGGAATGAATACAATTGTAATTGAAATGAATTAAAATGATATGATTGAGGAATACTCTTATTTGTCGCTAATCATGCATTGAAGAATCTGATATACGATATAAATGGTGTAATAGTAATAAAGACTAGTAATAGTAGAAAGAAAAAGGATAAATGTGAAAATAACATCATAAAAGCTATGCGTAAACTGTATGACGAGCCCTACCGGGGAATATTCGGTTGTGTAATCAGAATCACTGAATGCGACCATTGAATACTGAAATACAAAAATAAAATAAAAATAATATAACAAATCATAGACTACGGCATAATATATGGACATTGTTTCGGTCGCATATCTAGAATATTTATTTTAAATATATTCAAATGATTTGAACATAAAAATAGTGAAATGAAAAAATCTTTCCCATAGATTTGTCGGTGGAAAAAACGTATTGAACAAAAGCTACGGAATATGTGTGACAATTGTAAACAAAGTGATAGTAATAATCATTATTCAAGTTGTGATTTGTAGTTTTTAGGCCTAGAAATATGCCTAAACCCGCAGCACAGGTAAAATTGTAGGTTCGCGTGACACACGTGATCGACACGCGTTACGTGCGACCGCATCAACCGTACAGACAATGCATTATCAGTCACTATCCTCGACATAACTTAGGGTTGGGTGCATTGCATATACGTATGAAACACGCAAACCATAATATAATAATAGAGTAGACGGCCTAACAGTGGAGGCCTTTTCTCAAACAATTTTTTTCGCTGAGAAGAAATGGTTAACGTTTTTGAGGGAATAAAAGCGTTTAATGAACTGCAGTACAGGACTGAAGCGAAACTCTGTTCTACTCGTATATAATGGACAGTTTGTGACATTGAGAGCACACAAAAGCCGATAATTCCCAAGTTTTATATACAGACACGTGTAGCGTATGGCTCACTCCCGCATTGAGACACGTGCTATAGTGGGGCCAACATTGCCAACAGAGCCGACCGGCACTATATCTCACATCCAAATGCATGGCCAATACATTTGGATCTGAAGTTTTGAATGGTTTTGTTGTGCAATACATATAATATGCACTTATGATTGAAGTGAAGTTACTTTCTCTGCACGTCATGTGAACTCTCGCTTTACTCTAACTATTGTCTGGGATATAGAGCTCTGCATCCCTTCAATCATACAATCAATACATACAATACAGCGCTCTATCATTACTATTATTATTACGATTATTACCATTTTTAGTCCCATGTATTTTCAATGGATGGCTAGAACTTACAATTAGCTAAACTTAGAGCTCAGCGCTGGAACTGTCAGTCCATAGGCTAACACTTAAGTGAAATTCTTCACTTAAATGCCAATTATTGCACACCAACTGCTATAAGCATTAAAGTGTTTGATTTGATTAGAAATCATTGCAAATTGTATTTCTAATACATTCTGACATTTTTCAGTCGCTATACGTTTTTTGGGCTCAAAAAAGGAATAATTAAATTATGAGTGAAAAGATGTACATTTAGTATAGCATTCAGTATAGCATTCACTTCAATAGTGGAGGGAATCCAGTGTTTCCACTGTTTTCCAGTGTTGGGCGGCTTTAATAACAAACGTTACGCTTCGTCTACTTTTTCACTGGTCTCTAACATCACTGCCATTAGCCGTGCGTTGGCTTTCAGTTCTTCATCACAACCAGACCTCACACTTCAGTTCCTCGTGAGTCACATCTCAAAGATTATGCCGTTTTGAGCCATTTCTCCTCAATTTACAACTTTGTCTACACTCCCGACCCTTTAGAGCCCGTCGTAAATAATAATAATAATATTCATACACCATATACTGTGCACACGAGTCTACTATACTGTACAATACTATTCAAACGACTCTATTTTGCAATACAACATTTACCATATATTAAACTCTTATTTCACTTCTATCTCGCTCTATATTTCAAGTCATCTTATTTTACAATTAAGATATCAAATCAAAAGCTATTTATATATTGATACTAATTTTCAAAAAACATTTCCACAATTAATGTCGAGCTCAGGGGCTTATAAGTCGTTAGAAGTCAGTTAAAGTTGTGATAATATTTATAAACACTGTTCGTGTAATTACTTTATTAACCAGTTTTAAGAAAACATAAAACAAAATGTAATAAAATAAATAAAATAAAGTTTTTAAATATTTTATTAATTATACAATTATTTGAGTCTAAATTGCAATCAATGAAATACTGAAAATAATTACCATTTTAATAATCAATTGGTTTTTATGATGTACCGAAAATATTTAACTTTTACTATCAATATGTTTTATATGGCAATTATAAAAAATCTTGAATTAATATTCCTAGCCTTAAGGTATGAGTAAATCAAAGCTAATATCGATTCACAAGAAAAGTATTTAATAAAATGTATAATATATTTGCTATACATTGGAGGGAACGAATTTATTTCAGACATTTATTTAAGGCAATGATATCTAAACGTAAATTGATGTGATTTATATGTTTGGCCACTGTATCCATAACAATGACAAATAGCTTCAATGCATTTATCTGTTTTGTTGACTCACTTTATTCTTTTGATCATTGAATACAATGTTAGCGTCAAAACAAATAAGTTATGAAAAAAGTAAGTAAGTAAGAGAGAGAGAGAGAGAGAGAGAGAGAGAGAACAACAGCACATCCAACTGAGCTCTTTATGAGATTAAACAACAGTCTAGTGCTGTTATACTGTTTTGCTGATGCTTTTTCTATTGAGAGAGAGAGAGAGAGAGAGAGAGAGAGAGAGAATAAATGAATTGCCGACTGATTGTTGGAGTGATATAACTCTCGAGAGACCTGTTTGATGAGAATCAGTGGCTTCGGCCCACACGGCTCCTCAAGATAAGCATCTTTTTGTTGTACTCGTATGAAGAGTACAGTAACTCAAACCCCGAATCAATTATGAGATGCACAAGTTTAGACCCATTTGTATCCAAACCATACCATCTGCCCTACTATTACATGCAAACGATGCGATCGCATCACAACACACATCCCTTCCGGCAAATGTAATATACAATAACCATTTTTTAAAGACCAGAATTTTGAACAAATTCTTTATTATGTTTATATTTGTATAATTCAATCAAACATTAGTTACTAATATATTTAGACAAGAATTGGTTCAAAATTTTACTTTGAAAATCACAGTATTGTGTATGACTTGAGTATTATTATATGTTTTTTTGCAAGAATAACACAAAGCAGTTGTAAATGAGTTCTCTTTTTTTGTATTTCTAATATGATTTTCGAAGCGTTGGATAACATTATTGTGAATATGATATGAAAATGATGGGCACTGGAAGAACCCGTGAGACATATTAGGTTATCGTTACTCATGATTACGCTATTAATATTTGAAAGGCATTCAAGAGAATGAATTAGAATAGATTAGAGAGAGAGAGAGAGAGAGAGAGAGAGAGAGAGAGAGAGGCGTAGGAATCGGTGCCAATTGGTCATAGGGAGAGATAGATAAGAGAGAGTGAAAGTTATGGTTATATAATAAAGAGATATACAGTATTTATAGAGATGATGCTTTGGATCAACTTTATAACTGAAACAGTATGGTATGGTATGGTGTGGCGTATGGTATGGTAACGAGATAAAGCATATAAAGGTGCTTCTATTGTAACAACAATTTTGATGTATTTTTGGGAGGAGAGCGCATACATGTCCATTGGGACTATTGGAGTGCATAGAAAAAGCATCAGCAAACCAGTATAACAGCACTAGACTGTTGTTTAATCTCATAAAGAGCTCAGTTGGATGTGCTGTTGTTCTCTCTCTCTCTCTCTCTCTCTCTCATAGCAATGCAAGCAATGTGTTCACTATATCTCATAATTAATCTCGTTATAAGGCATAAACCAATTTATTTGTGTAATACTCGGGCATAACATTCGAATCTATATATAATATAAGTTTATATACATTACTGTTCACTACTTTCATATAGTTTTGTGTTTGTATTGAAAGGCATGCCATTAGAAGAGGAACAGAAATGCTATACTCAACCATAAGTACAGGCATAGAGATAGACATAAGTACTGTAGTGTATGGATGGGCATAGACTGGATGTACGGTACGGTTGACCAACTCAGTCGAAAAACGGAGAGAGAGAGAGAGAGAGAGAGAGAGAGAGAGAGCTGACATTAAAAGGGGACTCTCTTTGCTTTTTCTATGCTAACTTATACAACAAAAGATGCAGTTTTTGTGTGTGTCTATAGTCTATACAATTTGAGCACAACTATTGCCGAAGAGATGGTGTGATTGTGTAAAGCGATTCTAAAAAACATGGTTAATGTGTAGCCCTTTATGAGTTTTAGCGATGAAAAAGTGCTTTTAAGGCATGCATTACTATCAATACAAATACATTTACTTTATTAGTACAACTATTATGCCATTCATATTCACTACCATTTCAATCGCTATATTCAATTCAATCGGCGTCTTCTCACACATCAAATATTAAGAGCTGTTGTTTAGCGCCGTTACCAGTGGTTAGGGTCACCACCGATCAAAATGTGTGTATTATTTAACACAAAAAATTTACTTCTGATTCCTTACATTTTTTTCGTAATGGATTTTCTCTTTGCATTTAAGCGCACAAAAGATTTTAAGGAAATTTTGCTTTTAATGCGAATTTTGTATTTAGACAAACAATTTAACGGAGAATGCAATGCATTAGCTCTCAATTTTTACTCTAGAATTCATGGCTACTGTTCTTCGTCACCAGAGGTGTAACGTTAGATCATAGGCCAGACATATGACATACACACACACTCCCGGCCCCATAACTCAATGTCCTATGTATAACACTATGCTATGCAATGTCTGTATAATGTCTCACACTTTTAATTATGATCGCGAAGAAAGAATCCGCGAGTTTATGTTACCTCTCATACAGTTTATCCATTCATTTACAAACAACATATAAATTACATCAAAAGCTGCGAAAACTCCATTCATATGTATAATACTTTTAGCGATGTGTGATATCAATGAAATTCTTGTCTATAAATCTATAATCTATAGACAAGTCTTAAACTTTTTCCATTTTTAAAACCATTTTAAATCCGTTGAAATAATATTATTTTTCTCGTATTTTGCAAACACAAAAACCATAACATTTCGTTTGTTTGCAGTTTATTTTGTCAGTAATAACGATAATAATAGTAATAAATGGGAACACAATTTGTTATAATTAGTTAATTACTGAAAACTGAGCTAATTTTTTAGCTCTTGAATAGTATCAAGTTTGTGATGCAATGACTGAGTTTTAATCGCACGTATAGAGTACGTGATCTCTATTATGAATTCATTAATAAATTCTTTATTTCAAAATATATTTTGCATTAATCATTGTTTTGTCATTTTATGCCATAAAAACAAATCAATTTAAAATATTCCACTCAATATGGGAGAGAGAGAGAGAGAGCTAACCTTTTCTTGTTGTTGCATTTGTTTCATTAAAATACTTCTTTTCTTGTCTTTGCATCTCTTGTTTTGAAACCTTTAAAAAAGTGAATCAAATAATAATAATATAAATATAAAGGATTTGTTTAAATAAGTGAATGTAGAAGTAATACATACCAAACTCTAATAACTCTGGGCGATAATCCGGTCATTTCGACCAATTGCTCTTTCATGAGTGCATCGGGACGTGGATTGGCGTTATAGCACGTCCTCAATGTATGCAATTGTTTCTCATTCAATACAGTTCTCACTCGAGTCGGCTTATGTTCTGCACTCTGTTTGTGACCACTCGGTCGACCCGACTCTCGGTGTCGGCCCAACGGTATCGGTTCTGCCGTTACTTTGCATTTAAAAAATACAACACATAATAAGTCAAAGAATTTTTAAACAATTTGAATGTATTATCAATTCTATGACTTATATTCTAATGTCAAGAGCGGACGACACAAAAACTTATGCCTAAAGTAACTCAAAACTAAGCAAATGTTCCTTTAATTAAACAAACGGCCAAACATTCGGGGCTCAGATTTCACATCTCGCGTGTGAACTAATCAGGTGTTCAAACAGAGAGAGAGAGAGAGCTGACATTAAAAGGGGACTCTCTTTGCTTTTTCTATGCTAACTTATACAACAAAAGATGCAGTTAGAGAGAGAGAGAGAGAGAGAGAGAGAGAGAGAGAGAGAGATCCACACAAAACAATATTTGTTTTAGAGTCGGAGCACTTTTCTAATACACTAAAATTGTGGCGCTTTTATAGTGAATATTTTTTTTGCAAACACAACATTATTTAAGACACCAATACATAGTTATTTGTTTTTTACGTCTAATCATATTTAATGAATTTATAAAATATTGTGTTAAATAATGTTTTTTTGCGTTTTTAACTAATAAATGGTGTTAATAATGATGAAGAAGACAATTATAAGGTTTCTTATAAATTTCAATAAATTAATATTAAATGCAAATTGAGAATAATTCATCAATGATTTAACATAAACTGTGTTTTATGCAAATTTTTTATGAACGGTAACTGAACAGTAGTAGTACTGTATTATTATGATAAAGCATTGCTATCAAGTGCTATCAAATATAATGAATAATCTCACCCGTCATTTGAAGATGAGTACCAGAATTGGGAGAAATATTGTTTCCATTAATATCACTATTTGGTCCGTTTGGACCATTACTTATAGATAAACCATTTGATGCATTAATATCTTTGTCACTGTTAGCGATGGGACCGTTTTTCTGAAGGACTTCATGATCTTCCTATAGTCGCAAAAATTAAATGTAAAAAATATAATCTATTTATGCATAAAATGCATTCATTTTTATATGAATAAAAGGGACTTACTTTACAGAAGAGGCCGTCGTCTCTGAGAGCAAACTCGTCTCCTCGGGTTAGCTGTCGGGAACATGCGATACATCGGAAACAGTCGATGTGGTATATCTTATTGCGAGCCCTCATCACTAAATCACTTTTACTGAAACTCTTTGAACAGTTGGCACACTTCGCACCGAAAAGCCTAAAAAATATCACAACACAACCGTTTAGTTCAACACTTATTTCTATTACTTATTGTGTATTATATTGATTTAAATATAAGACTGACATTTGCTTAAGATTTTATCAAATATCTAACAAACAAAAGTATAATAAGCAGTCATTTGCATAGAGAAGTACTTTTGAAAAACAAAATTCACGCCAAATCTTGTCGAAAAAGTTTTATCCATACATAAAGTACTTATCGTCGATCATATTCTTTACATCAAACTATAATATACTAATTATATTCAGTCAATATTATCATTATAAAAGACAAATGTAACAAATAAAAGATTTAACACACATACGAATTTCAAATACAATTATATGGTTTATATAATATTATATATTTTCGTATTTATTTTCTACATTTTCTTTTTATTCATTAATCTCTTAAACAAAATTATGGCTTTAAAAGAATTATTTCAGAAATTCTCAAATTATATTTAACTTCTTTCAACATTTTTAAAATGAATAGTTTTATTGAAAGCAAAACCAAACCATAGTATTTGCCAAAACTATGTGGAGTCACAATGGCTTGTGTTCGAGGGTTTAGATGTCTTTTTGGTAATTTTTATGACCATTATTTTGATTTAAATGAAATGATTAGCTTTCAAAATAAATAAATAGCGATAGAAATGCACTGAAACCTTAAAGTCGGAGATTTTTTACGAGTTTATGCTTTGCGACATTGTATTTGGTATTATTTGCATTTTTAGGACAATTAAAATTTTAATGTTTCTTAATTATCAATAAAAAGGATTAATAAAATAATCAAAAAATCCCAGTTTTAAAAATACTTGTAAGTATTTTGAAGGTTAAATTTAGTCCAGAAAAGCGAGTTTTCAATTAAATCAAAACAATTGTGGGCTTTATTTTGTATTTTCTAATATTTTCAGAGCTATTCAAACAGTTTGAATCAATTTTACACTAAATTTTAGTTAAATAACAAACAATACTTCAAAACATCTCTTCGTTTGAGATTAATTACTCACTTATGGGAAACACTCAAAGAAAAAGGATATTTACGTTAAATTCCTATTCGTAATCAAAATATAATACAATTCAAACACTCATTAAAATATAATTGATTTAAAAATTAAACAGTTATATAAATTTTAATAAAATTGTCTATTAATTACAGTACAAGCAAAAAATTAATTATTAATTCAGAAGTAATTTGATTGAAATATTAGGAATTATTATGTTTAATAAAAATATTTAATACTTTTATATGTGTTTACATTGAGAAAGAATTGTATTAAGTTATGAATAAGAATAGATTTGTAGTAAATGACCAATATCAATTTGCATTGAGTTTGTTATTTCCTAACTGAATAATGGTATAAACAGATGTTTGCAAAGGTCTATACGATTAAAATGTATTTAATATAATAAAAGAAAGCATATGGTGAGTAACTGGATGCAAATACACACATATGATGGCAATAATAATATCTATGATTGAGTTTTGGTGTGCAATGAAGTGTTCGTCGACTAAATGCGATAATCGGCTCAAACGTAACTGCGATTAGTTTTTTGTTTACTTCTCAATCAAGTGTTAGATATGAAACACTGCATGACTTGAGATGGGCTTCAAATAAAAATACCGATTTGTGTATTCGTGTTAATATATGGCACACAAAATACATTATTATCGCTGTTATTAAACAATTATCGGAGACTTAAATAAACTCAAGTCCTTAATAGACAAATGAATAAAAACAATACAAAACAAAAGTAAACAAAATATTATTAAACAATTGATTCAAAAATAAGGAAAAATCAATTCCTCGATAGAATTCTAACATATTTTTAATGCCTTTTATCAGTCGATTATAATATATAATCACATGTTATGTATTAATAATACTGTTTGATTGTTATATAAATTATTTTTTAAAGTAAATTTTGAATGTTTTCTGTTTGAAAAATTAGAATAATTATTAGGAAGTGTTATATTTTGCAATACAAAAGCAATTGATTGATAATATTGAACAATAAAGACACTTAAGATGGGTTCTTAATGTGACGAGTGATTGAGCCCAACATAACATCACATAATAAGTGATAATTTAAAAGTTATATTTGTATTTGGTTTTGACTAAAACCCAGTGTTTTCATCATTAGGAAGCACTCTCTTTGATTAGTGCATCAATTATTAGGTTATGGCAATGGATTGAATGGATTCATTGGATTCACAACCGCAATGTCTGTCAATCTCTGAATTTGACTGTTTTTGTAAGTCTTTGTGCTAACAATCTATTCGTTGAGAAATGCCTTTTTTGGTGATTGGATTGGTTCGGCTCATCGCTGGCGCCGTTCATATCTATAGAAAAGCCATAATAAAGATGTTATGAAAGATGATGTTTGCTTTAGGCTGTGATGCCAGCGATGCCTCCTCACCAACATTTAAAGCCCCTTTCATTCACATCCCATGAATTATTCACTTTTTATACTGTATATACAGTACACAAAGTAACTGATGGGTTAGTCTCAGGCATATCACTCGCCTCTACATTAAACTAACAAACTTGTGGTTTGAATTATAAAACATCATAACCCGGGCTATGACAACAATTTTAGGCTCCTGTCCCTCATTCAAACTGAACCGAATTTACCAGCTTTAGGCCTATATTTATATATTATATACTTTATTGTATACTTCATTAATCAAATAACTTACAACAAAACCATATTATGTATTTAATAATGTTTGCATTAAAGTGTTAATAATATTATCGTATTATTAAACCAAATCTCCTACTTATCACTAATTCAATGGATATAAAACTGATTGGTTATCATAAGATTGGAAATGCTCTCAATTATATGCATAACATTAATAGAGAGAATAAAAATACAAACTTGTTTATTAATTGTTCAAATCTTATATAATTTAGTGTAATTTTACTCCATTATTTGGTGTACTATAAACCGCAATTACTGTTCATCATTTGAACTTTAACTCTATGCATTTGGTAGACCTAGGTGCACAAAATGCAGGTTCATGGTAATATCAAAGAAAATCTTAAATGCTATTATAGTCGCCAAAATTGCATAAAATATTATTTACTAAATTATTTTTTATTAATAACACAATTTAGCTTAAAAGACATTCACATCTTTGAATGTATGTCTGCATTAGATATCATTAGACAAACAAATGTCAGTAATACCTAAGTTGAGGCCATTATTACATTAATATTCTCAAAGCATCCAATATTTCAATAAACAGCTCAGGATTTCTCGGGTAATCAAAATGATCTGAAGAGATAATACCGTAAAAGTTGTTTAATCGTTATTATAATAAAATGTTTAGAATTCAAAAAACTTATTTCCAAATCAGATAATTGAGAATTTTATGATTTATTATACTTTAAATTTATGGCTTAAATCAACAAAAAAGATAGCAATGAATGCATATAAAAATAAAGACAACAGAATGTATATTCCTAACCACTACTCATATATATTTTGTTATTTTTATCAGTTTATTATTTATTCAAAAGTAATTAACGATAATTTTAGTCTAAAGTGAGTTTTGGTGCCAAACGCTTGCAATGATATCTTTAAGCAAATGTTTATTTTTGTCAGTCATTGAAAGAATAGTGTAGAGAAGAGCAGAGCATCATATGGTAGAGTAGTGTATAGTGTATAATGAATAGTGTATTGGATTGCATACCTTAAGTAATCGCGTTTGCAATAAGTTTTGCCATCCCTTACAAAGCAAGTGCACGACTCGTCGAGGAATTGATGACAATCAGCACATTTAAGGCAAGCCGCGTGCCATTCCAGGTCTGGGGACACACGTAATATGTACTGATCATATATCTGAGACCCACATCCAACGCACAGTGCAATTCTCGGCCATTTCCCTTCAAAATCAATCATTTTTATACATATTCTTTACGATTAGCCGCTTATATCATATCAAACATTCATATTTATATTAGATTTATTCATATATTAATAGTTTAACAGCTAATTAAGGTGTGGCTAAAGGTATACAGCGATTATCTCGTCTGTATGAAAGAGTATTATATATACGGTATATAAATATATATCGCTTTTCAGTGATAGAGTGGAGAAGAGTAGAGAAAAAGTTGTGTTAAAGTGAGACAAATATGCAGAAGACTGTCGACTATATGATAAGCAACTGTCGCCACCAAATTGACGAGTGCTTTACGCTATACTGTGTAGTGACTGGTGTGTAGTGACTGGTGTGCACTGCACTGGCGAGTGCTCACAACACAGGCATCACTAGCACTGACAGCACTGACAGTCGCCGCCGACTTTCTCATGATCTCAGCTCATCTCAAGATTCAACACTTACTTTGAGGCGATGTCTGCGAGTCTGCGGCCATATTATTGCAGCAGTTGTCCGGTGCGGCCGACGAGATGCCAACGGTTGTTAGTGAGGGCGAAATTTTGACAGCACTTGTGGTTACACTTGTTTCAAATATATGGTCACTTCTGGGGAACCAGAAATGCACGGAATTTGTTCACTAAAACACTATTATACCGAAAAACGGATAATAATATGCAAACTGATTGCTGGACACAACAGCACTGTTATAATCAACACATGTTATGAGAATATACTGTATATAAAAGCAATTCACTAATTGTATTGGTATTGAGAGGTAGAGACTGCACACAGAATGAATGGATCACTTAATTGGCATCATTTGAATGATGCATAGGTTTGGGAGACACGGATGGAGAGTATGGAGAGTGGATGTGGTATTGATAACATGGCTTATGGTTGTCAATGGTTGGCATGATATGGAAGTGCGAGTGGGGACAAGTGGCACGCGTTGGTGCACAACATTTTTCTCACTGCAATCTTCACTCCCATTTGTGACGCCTTTCCTTCAGATGACGGCAACCAATGATATGTGGGAACCGAAAGTCGATACCAGTTATATGGGGTGCCATTGGATACGCTCACGCCTATAACGCCGACATATG